GAGATCATCCTTAGAATTTACATGTGGATTTTTCATGAACATCATTGAACTTAATGATTTTTGCAATATAGATTGTTTATATCTGCAAATGTATCCATCTATTTATAATAAAAAAAATTAAAAAGAAAAATATTTTTTTATTCATGTGCACTACATTTTAAATTATGAAAGAAAATATAGTGTTCCAGTATAGTAGCAGTGGTAAGAAACTTTTGAGGAAAAATAAATTAAAAAGTGATGCTTGGAGTGGTTGAAGGAGATAAGGTAAGGGGGGCGAGTGTAAGTCATCAGAATATATTTGAATGTGAGTGAGTGAGGGAATGTAAGAACAGTTTTTAAAATATACACTGGAATGACTAAGATAATGAAAATTTCTTTTGCATGTTTAATTTCTGTTACTAATGATTGCTGTGCAAAATATTTTGCACAAGTTAATGTGTAAGCCAGTAATTACACATTATCTTAAACGCCTTCCTTTGGAGGAAACTAGTTTTGTTAGATATAAAGTATGGAGAAAGAGGGAGTGGGTGGGCAGAATGTATTCTTAGAATATATTCAATAATTTCTCATCTAGGTACTTTTACAATTTCATTCATCAGAAGGACGGCAGCCTGTAGTTTTTAACCTTTTCAGCATTCAGTTAAGAGCATTGATGGTTTGTCGGTAGCATACAAGTTAATCTACATTGAAACCTGAAATAGGCGAGTAGATATTCCATTTTTATTACCAACCATTAGGTATAAAGCAGACTTTACAAGTATACAACTGTACTTTTTTCCTTTTAGTACATTTGCATAATTAACTCCATACAAAGAAAATGAATACCAAGGAGCTGGGCAAGGTTTTGGCAACCAACAAGTTTTTATGCAGACGACCCACTGAAGTTTAATTTTTACTGTTATTACTGATTAAAGCTTAGCCTAGCAACTCCAGTTCTGTTTTAGAACGAGAATTTCTTCCTTTCAGTTTTTTGTTTACCATTTTTCCCTTAAGTTTAGTGGTGCATTGAGTATTAATTTTGTGCAGTAATATATATATATATATATATATATATATATATATATATATATATATATATTTGATTTGAGACAATATAAAGTTACATTTGTCTTAACCTAGTGAGAAGTTTGTGTATGTAGAAAGACAGGACAAGAAACATTTATATACATGCATATTTTTTTTTTTTTTTTTTTTTAATTTTTCATATTTGTAGGAGTAGGGAGAAACCTTGAGCAGATCTACAGAAGCAATTTAAGTTTAAAATTAAATATTGCAAGCTATGAAAGTCATGAGAACAGAAGTCTGCATGTTTACTGAAAAAAATAGTCTTCATTTATAAATTAATAGATTTGGGTGTGGAGAGGGTATTTGAAGATGTAAAAATGTCAAACAATTGTTGGGTGTTAAAAAAAAAAAAAAAAAAAAAAAAAAAAATTTTTTTTGGTTGAGAGCACAAGTGAAAAATAACACAAAATTGTCGGCAGCAGCAAGTAGAAAAAAAAAAAAAAAAAAAAAAAAATCAAAATCAAAATGAAATTTGTAAAAGAAAACTAAAGGGAATTAAAAAAATGAATGAAAATAATATTTATTTATGAAGACTACACAAATATAATTTTGAAAGTTTTTGCCAACAGTGATGCCTCTGCTTATTTGTTACAAAAGGACGTGGCAGGCTGGTTTTCTCTCCTTGTAGGGGTGGGAGCATATCTGGGAGTTTGAGATGGACAGACAAGGGATGCAGACAGCCCCTTTTGAAACACTCCAGGCACAGAACAAAGAACAGCCAAAAAGTTTTTGTCTTTTATTCACTTTTAATTTGCAGGAAAAGGGCAGGAAGGGTTAGGGATTGTGGAGAAGTGGAGACTTGGGCTTTCAAATTTTACCATTCAGTAAGGTAAAAGGTAATTGAGGTCCTAGATAATTGGGTGGTGGTGGTGGGGATAAAATTTAAAGATGTGTAGCCATTTCGTAAGAGCTCCACATTTTAGTCTGGAATGAAATTGGTGGAACCATTTTATTTGGATTTTTTTTCTTTAATATTCTTTAATGAAGTTTTTTGAACCTTTTTGATAAAAAAAATAAATAAAAATAAAACAGCTGAGAATTGATATATGAAAGTATAGAAGACATGGGCAGAATCCTACATTTCAATACAGGAATTTTTTTTTTTTTTTTTTTTTTTTTTTTTTTAATGACCAACATTTGTTTGGTTTTTTGTTTTTGTTTTTTAAAGAAAAACTTGATAGATATATGTATATAATTTGTTTTAATATATATATATTTATATATGCATTATTGAATTTGTATAATTAATATATATTTACACACAATATATATTTATACACTATGAATTAAACCTTTCAGTAATTTCAGCAGACGCTCAGACTACAATCCCAATTGTAAAAAAAAAAAAAAAAAATCAAGCCTCAATTAATGAGGATCTTAATGTGAAAGAGCAGACAATTTGTGTGTATATATATATATATATATATATATATATATATATATATATATATATATATAACACAAACACTCATTCACACTCTCATACACACATTGATGCATATGGCTTATCTTCCACATGAAGTGCTTTCATATTTGCTTTTTTTTTTTTTAATACTTAAATGGCAACAGCAGTGCAATGCCTATATTTGGGAAGAGCCAGCTTTTCATTTTATAATTCATGTTTTTAAATTAATCCATAAGGAGAATTAAATCTTCAATTTTTTTTTATAAAACATTGAAACAATTTAAATAAAATAAAAGATAAAATTAACTTTAATAAAATTTAACGACATTACAAGGAGGGAAATTTAGAATCAAAAGGTTTTTTTTTTAGTTTTTAGAGTTCCAGACACAAGAGTATCTGAATATTATGGATCTTTAAATAATAAAAAAATATGAAACAGGAGCAAGGGATGGGATAGGATATCCACATTTTTCCAATGATTAATAATTTATAATTAAACTGCCCCCATCCCACTCACCCCCCAAAAAAGTAAAAATAATATATTTTGTACCAGCAAAAATAAGTTTTTGCAGTTCACAAATTAAGAGTGACCAAGATAATACTCATAAGAGCTGTGGACAACATGCAATTAGGCTGACTCATCTCAGTCTGACAGTTGGGAGTGCTTGGCTTGCAAAAACCAAAGCTGTGAGAAAAGTTAATTTTACATACTGACAATAGAAAATTTAACATTACCACTAAGATGCTAAGACAAAAAAATCTTGTTAACTGTGGCACCTTATTCTCTGCAGTTATATCAAAATTTGCCCGTTAATTACCAAGTGCCTTCCGTCACTCAAGGAGCTCAGAGTTGCAGATGTTCTTTTCCCCAACCCAACCTTCATTTTAGCTTTTACATGTTACTGCTATGTATAAGAATTTATAGTAGTAAAATTCATAGCAGAAGCTGTAAATACAAGTGAATAGCTATAAGAAATATCAATTTGATAATAAAGAATGTGGGGGGGGGCATTTTTACCCATGTTAGTTCACCATAGAGTCACTGAGCATTACAGAACCATACTTCATAATTAATATCAGTATTTAACAGGTGCCATGTTACTCTTATAAATCTTCAAATAGGCAAAAGGGATTAGAAGTATTTATGAAATTTGACATGGATGGGCAAGTAAACTGGAGTGGGGGGAATTTACAATCAAGCCAACACTGGTCATTTGGTCAAGGCAGTTGATAATTCATACCTCTTTGGGTATTGCGGGTTTACAAGTACGCAAGTACTGACCGCACTGGGCATAAGGTGTGAAAGACTTGCCCAGGGCCCAGGTGGACAGCTCAATTCCAAGCCAACCAAGCTTGGAGGAAAGAAAAAAAAATTCTAAGAACAAAGCCAATTGTCATTAGATGAGCTACACCACCAGCCCTTGTCACAGTAGACATGCCGAGAAAAAAAAAATAAAAAATAAGTTGGCTACCTAAAAACGCGTGTGCATTTATATCACAGTTATGAAAACAACACCTGGCCAAATGTAGTGGAACCATGTCTGACAGATGAAGTAAAAATTAATGGGCAGTTAGAAGCTTAGTTTCAAGTTTGGGAAAGTAAAATTAAAACATGGTAAGATTGAATATACATACAACTTCACCTCATTGAAAAGTGCTAATCATCTGGAAATGAGGGAAAATATGAAGTGGAGAAAGAAATACTCACTGGCCTGCCATATTTAAGGGATAGAAGTGAAAAATTAGAGTCAAAATCCAGTCTTACATAAATATAGCTTGTATTACTTTAAATGTCCTTCAACCTCCAGCAACAGGTCAACAACCAGTCCTTTCTGTTATATTTCAGTGCTTCTTCATTACTAAAGCATAAGTTCTAGTTGCTCACAACAGGATGCATCAAGGTAGTGAATAGACATTTAATGTTTGGTGGGTATAAAGACTCACTTAGTCATTGAACTGGTATTTATTGAAGCCGGTACAGAATATATTTTTCTGTTGTATGAACTCTGCCATTTGTAACGGCCATCAGTTTTGCATAGCTATTAGCAAGGGGAGAGAGAGAGAGCTTATGTATGCATTGAGATAGATATATATATATATATATATATATATATATATATATATATATATATATATATATATATATATATATATATATATATATATATATATATATATATATATATCTCACACAAAACACTGTCAATACATTCCATTTAGGGTCACAGTCAAACAAGATTTTTTTTTTTTTTACAATTTTTCCTTTCCAGAATTGATTTGAAATTTGGGGATAATGGGAAACATCTAAAATAATTTTTTTAAAGTCTTTCATAAAATTAATTTCTTCTAACTCCAAAGAGGAAAAAATATCAAGTGCGCAAATTTTCTAGCACACACACACATACAGTGAGTGAAATCAAAAGAAAAAAGAAAAGGAAAAAGGAGAAAAAAAAAAAAAAAAGGAAGTATGATGTCTGATCACTTGTCAGACTAGTGTTCCTGCCTTCATAGGTTTGATAGCTGACCTTAGTCAAAGAGGGGAAGGAAGAAAAAAAAAATATCCAAAACAGATGAGGTAAATGCAGCAACAGACATTTCTGGAAGCTGGTATACAAGGGTAGAGAGAAAGTGAATGGCGAGGTGGGCAGTGATCATGTGTGTAGAGTGGGACATGTGAAGGTAAGAGAGCAAGAGCATACTTAAGACATGTTAATGAGAGATTGTGAATATGAAAAAGGCAAAGTAGGAAGAAGTTAAAGTGTAAAGCATTCCCAATGCTGAGATACTGCATGAAAGCAAGCCAAGAAAGATCAGAACACTACTGAACAAAAATTTCTACAAACATTTAATATACAGAATTCTATTAAGTTAAAGCATAACACAATTTAGCATGAATACTTCTTTGCCAATTCTTTAGATATATAGTATATTGAATTTAAAACCTTTTAGTTTGAGATGAATACAAAAACAATTACAATATTAGTACATGTATAAATCCACAGTTGTTCAAATTTGCTTAACCCATATGGCTTATTTAGAGTTTTTGTAACTAAGAAATGTCAATGAAGTTAAATGAAAGACCTCATGGCTTAAATGGCCACTTATGAAAAATAAGTCATTTTAAATGTGTATGCAGCTAAAATTAAATCTGCAAGACCATGAGCATGTATACACAGATGCCTACAATTATTTTACATTTGATTATACAAGGGTTAATGTAGTTTAAAATATGGATTTAGAGCAGGGATATCAGATGAAGTTGCACTACAGAAATATGCAGGATTATCACACAAGTGACCAGCAGCATAGACAACCAAAGTATAAAAATAGTTTTATTTTAAATAGGGATCAATTGTGAGAAATATTCTCTCTATAAATTTTAGTGGGAGTAAGCCTCCACATTTTAATCTTACATTATATTTAGAGTTTATAAAAGGAAAAATTAAACTCTAGATATAATGCTCATAAAGATTTCCCTGATATTAGCTTTAGCAGCTTCTATACTTTTTCACTAATATTTTATCAGCTTTGAATATGCCTGATTAACAGATTTTCCAGCTGCCAATGTTATTTTAGAAGACATTACTAACATTAAGATTTTTGAAATATTTACAATTGGTCAAAGTTACCCACCTGACCAAGTCAGATGACTAGTTTACAGATCAGTGAATTCATAATGTTTCATTTCTTTCAATGGCAGCCAATTGAAGCTGTAGGAGGAACTAAAACTTGTTTAAAATATATATATATATATATATATATATATATATATATATATATATATACACACAAGTAGAAATTACTAAAAAAGGCACCACTAGTAGTGGCCATAATATGGATTATACAGAAGAAGGTTATTTCAATAACTATATTTGATAAAGAACTCTTATCAAATGGTATTTTAGAATTATGATCTAGAGAAATTAAAAATCCATTTCATATACTAAGCTATCAAAATTAACATTGGCAAATTACTACAGAAATCCTACAGTTCAAATTTTATGTAAAAACCTAATTTAAAGTTTGTGAAAATTGTAGATTGCATAAAAAAAAATTATCATGTGCACAAAAGATAGAAGTGACCAAACTAATTTTAACATCTAAGCACTTAAACTATGACATATTTATATAAAAACATCCGAAAATATTCAGCCACTTGAGGTTCATAACAGAATTCCTTATATTTAATAATTTAACAATTCAAGCCCGAGTCATTAAAGTCAGGGACATTTTTCAAAACAAAATCATTAAGGTTATTAAAAATAAAGTTGAATGTCAGTTATAAGGTGGTAATGTTAACTTGTCCAGTGCATCTGAAAGTAGGAATGAAAAAAGGCAAGTTAGTGATCAAACTGACCATTGCATTGTATTATGGTTTTGGTAAGTTGGAGTCAAGAGGAAGTGGTGCATTAGCATCAGAAAGAAGCATCAGTGAACAATGAGTTGTGCTATGTAAAGTTTAGATTATAAAGCCTGTGTATAGTAAAGGAGGCTAATTTAAATTTTGATCTGTTTAGCTTCAGTTTTAAGTTGGGTCTAGGCTATGTTCTGCATCGAACAAAGACCTGCCACAGAGAGTCTTTTTTATATTATAGGTAGCAGCAGGAAGTCATGACAGGATAGACAAGTGTGACTATGGAATGTGGAGATTTCATCCAGGTGGAATAGAATTAGATTCAAGGGAGCAGTAGACACCTATCAAAGACACTGCTTTATATAAATTTCAGTATTTTAGTGATAATTCACACAGCAGTGTAGTTAAGAACTCACATAGCGGGTTAACCTCTGAAGAGGCAAACAACTTGCTACAAAAATGTAAATAGGTCAAGATCACACTTTGGAATGAACTCTTGTGGAGGTGGGAGCATCCACTCATTGGCAAGAGCCAAAATATACTTTTAATATATAAAAACCAACAATATGCACAGTGTAACTTTAGTTAATTTTATTTAAATCTTTAAATTAAAAAATAAAATTTAATGAGTTGTTTGCTTTTCATTTATATATTTTTTAAGCCAGGCTTTACCTAATTGCCTAAGTTTTAATTTAGACAAAATATAAGAGCAGTAGGAGCAAGGCAATGTGATACAAAAACATTTTAACATCAAGGAGTTACACTCAAGTAATTTGTAGAAAGTTTTGAAATTAACTTAAAAATTAAGATTGAGGTGAGGCATTTGGAATGCCAAAGTGCAGGCAGGGCATAGATGTGTAGTGATTTAAAAAGAAAAATTTCAGATGGGAGAAAAGTAGGTCAATAAGGGAAATGCATGTCAGACATTGACAAGGCATGGACGAGAGATTTGTTGCTGCAATTGCCTTGGAGAATGGGAGAGAAAGGGACCAATGGGGTTGGGAAGAAGTGAGTGTGGATAGGGAAGTTTCTTTCGTGAGATGAAAGAAAAATAAAGTAAAAATAGGAAGTTATACACCATGCACACGGGATCCTTTCATAAAAAGACGACCTTTGGATATCGTGCCGAAGATCAAAAATTATTGCATAAGAACAGCCAGTGTTAAACTTAGAACATTTTTATTTAAAGACAGAAAAATAAAACCCTTTTACAATTTCTGACTCCGGAAATATATTTTAGTATCTTGCCCCGATACTTTGAATGGCCTTCAAAATAAAAATATCTTAGTATTTGTATTTATTTCTTTTTGCAGCTTTTTTCAATTTTGGTAGAATTTTTTTGAATTTTTTCTTTTTTGACAATGTTTACGTTTTGTTTTTTTATTTTTATTTTTGTTTTTTTTTTTGTTTAATTTTGTTTTTTTTTTTTTTTTTTTTTTTTTTTACTTATTCTACATATACACAGACAGCTCGTAAATATTATTAAAATAGAAAATGCTACTCTCTAGTTGTGCAACAAATTCGTCAGGTACTATTTATACAAATATATGTTAGAAAGCATAAACTTGCTTTGTTTATTTTTGTTATTGTTATATGGATTTTTTAATTTTCTTATCATCACAATCATCTGCCTCTTCTTGGCTCTCAATAGAATAAAATAAAGGCTATTTTTATGTGGACTATAAAATATGCATTTAGCTGGGTTAAAATAGAATTTAAAAACAAAAATCTCATCCGCACATCTCATTCAAGAAGAAAAAAAAATTGAAAATTAAAAAATTTAAAACTGAAGTTAGATTCACATTTTTTTTGTTTTTTTGTTTTTTTTAAGAAAATGAATCTATCATACTCTCGCAGCAAATTAAGTTAAGTTTTTTTCCTTTAGTCAAGACATAAACCCAGCCCTGTCGTCTGACATTTTAAATTACAAACTATTTTCACATCCATAGGAGATTACACTTAAATGGGAGGATAATACTCATTTTGAGTTAATAATACTTTACATTTAAGTATATTCTCTCCTTCCACTTTTTTTTTTTTACACTTAATATATGCATGGATGCCTATAATCTCATGAATAACGGGAAGAATGAGTATCTTTCAGATATTTCTATATATATATTGGAATTTATTTATATATATATATATATATATATATATATATATATATATATATATATATAATTTTAATATTATATAATATGTTAAGAAAATATGGATTGCCTGAGTTGGGATTTGTTGACAGACCGGACAGAGTCGTTCCACAGCTGGCTTCTCAACTATAAGATTGGCACACTCCATACAGAATAGATTGTGACCACATGGTACAAGGGCTGCAACTACCTCACTCTCTGAGCACACTAGGCAGTTACGCCTGGGACGGCTACCAACACTGCCACCACCCGGAGGAGAATCCGGGCAGGAGCTGGTGATGGTGGTGACAGTTGTAGAGGTAGTAGCATAATTGTTGGTACAAGTCGGTAGAGGTCCGAAAGATGTTGACACGCCAGCAAGGCTACCGGTCAGAGGGTCACTCCGTATGCGTCTAAGCATAGGATGGTGGTCCAAGCTGTTGCTACTACCACCCAGGGTGGTAGCTGTCAAACTCCCAGTACCTGAACCATTTGCCATGGCAGAAGCAGACTCTAGGGTGGGCGAAAGACGCGGAGTAGTGTTGCTTCCACCAAGACTGCTCCTTCGTAGTGGTGGCACATTCGTGACAGACGAACAGGAGGTGGTATTTGTACTTGTAGGGTTGTTACCGGTTGAAGTGAACACTGAGGCAAGTGATGTCCCTCGGCCTGGAGCCGTTGTGTCATTCAACTCTGGCCAGAGCCCCGCTGGGGACGGGACAGGGTCGAAAGACGGAGAGCTAATTCCTTCATCGTTGTCATAAATATTAAAACTGTTAAAGGCGTTAAATCCATTAGTCAGTGGGTTATATGTATCGGTCAGTTTGGAAGTAGTGGAAGTGACAGGTGGAAAGTTAAAGATTGTGGGTTCCTGACTGCGCCGTGAAAGCAGGCTCCCATTCAATCCTGAGCTTGTGTAGGTAGAAAATGCAGATGTAGAACTAGCTGTTTTAGAATAAACAGATCCAATATCTGTGCCCAACTCATGAAACCCCGAGTCTACACCATTGGTATGAAAGTCATTTTCATCCTGTGCATGATGAGATTCAATAATACCACCTGTGCGCATTGCAATATGACTTTCAATCTCTTGACGTGCCTTCTCCACATTTTCTGGTAGTCCAGTGACCTCAAATACAGGTTCTTTGTCCCGACTTGGAGTTACAATGTAAGTGTGTGTTTGTTGTTGTATTCTTTTGATAGTTGCACCTTTGGGGCCAACAACAAGGCCTACAACTCTGTAAGGAACCCGTACTTGGATAGTCACTTGACCAGGAGTATTAGGGCTGGGAGGACCAGGAGTTAAGTTGGAACTTGTTCCAGACACACCAGAAGCACTGTTGTTTCTTCTGGAGGCCCGAATTTGACTGAAGTGATCTGCTGCTGACAAAATCTCCCTCTTTGCAGCAGCAACGTCTTCTTTGCGACCCGTCACCACAAACACTGGCTCCTCTCCCCTGACAGGGGTTTTAATATATGTATTTGTTTTTGCTCGTAGGGCTTTGATCTTGCAGCCTGAAAAAAAAGAAAATTACACAATAGTTATTTTATAGGCTTTTTTAAATCAGTAATTTAATTTTCATACTTAGAAAGAAAAAGCTTTCACTTAATTAGTACACAAGATCTTGAAATCTATTATAGAATGAAGTTTCAGAACTTAAAATTAAGTGACCCTTTTGACTATAGCTACTTGTATTTACAAGTTAGGCATCCACTAGAGATTAACTTGTGACATTGATAAAAATGTTGACAGCAACATAATTTAACTAAGTCAATGCAAGAAAAAAATATTGAACACTGCTCTCTTGCAGAAGAAAAAGGCAGAAACTCATCAGGTTAGAACGATGCTCCTAAAAACGTTTGGGTGTGTAGGTAATAAACAGTGAAGTCAGCAGAGAGGAAAGAATGAGGTGTTAGCATGAGCTGAGTCACAAGCCAAGCAAAGGCCTATTCTATTGACAAGTAGTAGCAGTAGACTTAATATAGTTCATACATGCAACATGTCCAGTGACATTAGGGAGTTGCAAGTTAGCCAGGGATTCACTATTTCAGAATTGAAGTGTTTGGGTGGAAAAAAATTTATGCAGTATAAAATTAATCAGGTACAAATTACAATATAAAGTTATATTATGTAAGATTTAAAGTAATGTTTAGATCTGAGCATCTGCATTAAAGAGATGATACAGTTTAAAAACTGAATGACCCAAATTAGCCAATATAAAAATCAAAATGAAATAGTCTTAACTTCAAAAGACTTCAGAGCATTTAACGTTTTCAGAAAAAATTTTATGTAGATCCTTGAAATTAGAACTAAGTATTCTCATTGATTAATTTGAACCAAGTGCAAGTTATTAAATTAATCAATTTTATGATAAAGTCTTACATTAAAAGCAGCAACTATTTTAGATTTAATTTTATAAAAAAGCTTTGTCAGTAGTTAATGAAAATATGAAAAACAGAAAATCTAAGAAATACTGAGTGAGACTTAAGGCAGTATAGAAATTTTATTGTATAGCTTTACAGTTACAAGACCAAATATATTTTATATAAGGATGTAAAGAGCCCATACTATCAAAATCTAATTTCAGTGGATTTGTATTCTGAGAGAAAAGGCTTCTAAGCATCAGTTTGCAAATTAGTTATGAAATAGTTGCATAAAAATGCATATCACCCAATGCTTAATATAATTTCAGTATGGTAATCATTGCTTCTTTGGAATCATGAAATTTTAGAAAAACGGACCAATCACCAAAATACTTGAATTGTTAAAAGAACAGCCTTTCGGCTAGTGTCATGTAAACAAGTTGTGCATTGCTTTGTAGTTGGCAGCATAAAGACAAGCACAATTCAAGAACGATAACCAGCTGCAGTGCTACCATTAATATTTAGCAGGATGAAGGGAGAGATGCTGTTAATTGTAGACTAGCAAGTTAGCAAGCTTAGTTTGCAGTGAAGCTTGAAAATATAAACAAACCTAAACTCAGTAGCTGATTTTTTTAATTTAAGTCTAGAGCACATGCACAGAATATTTAGAAAACTCACTTGAAAAAGTATACGCGATAGTAATTTGAATTTGGAGTCATGAGACTGATCCAAGAATCTATAATCCAGGCAATTTTACAATATCTGAAGTGCTATTTTATGAGCATTTATCTGCAGCTGAAGTTAAGCTAAAAGCAAGCTTAACTCCAAGAAAAAAAAAAAAAAAAAAAAAAAAAAAAGTGCACCTTAAGTAAAACTAAACTAACATTTTTCATCTTGTACACAAAGGCACTTATTTGTCAGTTCAGGAGACATTTGCAAAAAAGCTAGTACAACACCTTAAATTGCTATGAAGTCCTTAAAATAACTTTAAAATTTTTATTCCTCAGCAATTCAAAGCATAAATTTATTTTTATCAATTAACTTAGTAATACAAACACCTTTTAAATCTCAAATATTGAAAATAAGGCTATCTGCAGAACCAAGCAATTCTTGAGGTATGCAAGTAGAGATACAAGAGGCTAAGAATACATAATCAGATAACAGGTGGGGGCAACTATCAGATTAATCTCAAGTACTGGCCAAAGAGGAAACTCAAGAGTTAAGCAGAGCTAAATTTTTCAAACTTTATAAAACATTTAATTCTTAAGAGTCGTTTTCAATCCTTTGGGTTTTGCTCAAATGTTAAGTATGTGATGCCCTTAAGTCAAACTCATCATTCAGGATGTCTATGTACACAATTCATAGACCTGCTTAATCTGTTGAAACTATACAGAAACCAGTTTTATTCCAGTTTCATAATATAACTTTGGAAACCATTTGTTAATACATTATGGTTGAGAAAGTATCCAAATTTTCTAAGAAAATAAATCTGCACTAAAACAATCGGGTATTGTTAGTGATATCCAAGAGTGGAACAAGCATTTTAGACATTAAATCAGTTTTACAAGTATTACATGAAGATGTAAGTTTATTACAGCTTTAACTATGGGTATTTGAATTGATCACTAAAAGTAACCTTGTAAATATTAAATTAGAAGCTGTAATAAAATACATCCATATAAGAGATCAAAGGCAACCACAACTTCATTTTGTTTAGGTTAACCACAGACTGCAAAAGTTTACAGCCATGACATAATAGCACTGGTATTTGCAAGATAAAGTTAAAGGAAATATTCAACTACATTTAGACAAGACTGCACATCTAGGACAGGAAACATTGCAAGAATAAAATATAAAATTATTCATTAGACTTGCTATGAAAGATGCCAAGATCCAACAAGATTAATGATTCGAGTTTGCCACCACCCCACCCATCTATGAGAATGAAAATGACTTTCCAGTATTTTTCTGTCTAAACAAAGTTCAGGTCAGGTAAACAGTTAACATTTAAGCAGAACAAAAATTATGAGTTAATTGTTAGGATAAGCATTACCTATGTTCTAATAGAAGATAGGGTTATTAAACATTAGGTAGTTAGAGCAGCTTTCATATTTTAAATGGAAGCCTCAGTCATTTTTTTTTTAAATTAGTCAAACCACAAAGCAAAAATACTTAAGGCATTGATCTATGATACAATTAGCTGTTTCTAGGCATGCAATTCTTAATGCTTCCAGAGTAGATAACTGAGCAAGTAGATTCAATATTTTTATCTGTAGTATTTGTACAAAGGGCTTACAACCCACATCAATAGTTTTGTAGAACTATACAGAATGTGCTCAAGTAAAATATTTGAATTTGCAACCTTTCAACTTATGCTTTCCATAAGTACTAATGGTGCTAAAAATTCAGAATTGCTAAAGCACTGATTTTTAGATGCTTTGAATGAGCACAAGTCATATTGTACAATGTTATCTCCAGTTTCCAATTATTTTAGTAATATTAAAGCAAACTCAAAGTAGTATATAACATTCTAAATGGAAATTAGAGTCATGGGCAGTACTTAAGTAGGGTTTCAAAATCATTTTAAACCAGTAATTTTAGAAATTTCAGTGTTGGGTGCTATAATGAAAAGCATTTCATACTTTCCACAAGACTCAGTTGCAAAAGCTTAAGTTACCAAATGACTGAGGTACCTAAAGGATAGGATGAAATGAAAGTTTGAATGTTAAAGTACCAGTGAAATTTAGGGAAGAGGGAAATATCTTATTTTTGGATAGAATAAGACTATCAGTTCTAGTCAAACTTGCATATTTTTAAACTGGATCAGATAACTATAAGATTCTATTGAATTTCAGAATTCAAAATCATCTTAGACTGATAAAGTTTCAAGACTTGCATAATAATTTGTTAAAAGTGACTGACATTTGATTTAAATAGCTCAATCTTGCAGGTTAATGCATTTTCCAAGTATTATACCATGGAATTTGTCATTAATTCACTTCAAGGATATTAATTTCAAATACTTATAACCAATTCTTGAAGTCAAAGGTGGCACTTGACTAGTTTAACAAAAAATACTAAATTCAGACTTTAGACCAAAACTAATAGCTGAAAATACAAAACCCATCATTCAGCCAACTCAAATATAGAAGTGCTTGTTTCATGACAAGTCAACTGATCAGTCTACTTTTCAGCAAACTTGAATTTTTAATTTAATTGAAAAGTTAATTTCAGCAAAACTTCACTGCTTAAGTGCATGTTTAAACATTCATAATTGCCCATAGCAGACAAACATAATAGTAATGATTGCATTTATTGTGCAAAAGCTTTTAACATTTTTAGTGATTCAAGTTCATAAGTATGCAAAGTATTTTAAATAGCTTGTAAAGTTAACCAATGATCAAATTAAATTTGTTAAACTATTACTGAACAACTCGGGCAGAAGGCAGTTTATAGATCAAAACTTACCAGCATTAGCTCTATTTTGTCAAATAGAAAGATTGTTCCACTAATATTTAGAATTGTTTTGATAGACAATTTTTATTATACAAAGCTACTAATGCTTTACAGACAAGTGTTTAAGACAGTAAATGCAACCTTGTGCAAGTATGAGAACCTAATAGATAATGTAGCCAGAATAAAAATAAAGAGCAGGAGACTAATTTTCAGCTTCATCAGTACTCACAGCACAACTAGGTTAGCAATCTACTGGGTGGTAACTGTCCTACATAATGACAGTACAACAGCCATAATTTTGAGCCTAAGGACAGCAATTTGCATGACTGATTGGTATGAGTGAGTAAGATTGAGAATCAAACCCAAAGACATCTGAAGTTAGGTCAGTCAAAATCAACTGAGAGCAGAAAAGACTGTCAAAAGTAGGATAAGGGAATTAATGGTTTGGAACAAACATATCCTGTATAGTGCACAAATGAAAGTTATTTTAACTGTACACTTAAAGGATAGTTCAATATAAGTCAGGTAATGCATACATTAAACTTACCATATTAATTTCCAGATAGAAATTATCAATAGTTGCCTTCTGTAGGAAAACTATCAACTTTGAGAGTTATGAAGTATTCATAACTATCTTGAATTTGGTTAAAGTTACCAAGCCAATTGTTGACATTGTAACTAAGAGGTAAAATTTC